CACATACGATCTGTCCAATGCTTATTCTAACAGGTTCTATACTCAGGTTACCTTTACACGTTTGGAGATTTTCTCATCTTATGGGTTTTGGCCTGAACATCCTGTTCAAGGTGAAAAATTAGCTGAATTTGGAGTTCTTGATTTAATTGACCGTGTGGGTTTGTCTAAGTCTGTGTTAGAACTTCAGCCCTTTTGTAGTCAAGGTGTTAAGGAATTCTATGCTAATTTGACCTGGTTGTTTTCATACCTGGTAGTCCTCGATTTAATAAGCTTTTTCTTCGAAATAGGGTCATTGATTTTTCCCCTAACTTGTTGAAGGTTCATTTGGGTTTGCCCTCTGATGTCCCTTCTCTGCCCGATGTTGATCTTGGTGCTGTGACTAAGGTCCTCTCTGACAGCCAGTTAGACACTTGGCCTGGTTCTAATCGGCCCGTTAGTTCCCTCTGTCTTGTAGCCAATCTTCTTCACAAGGTTGGTACTGGTAACTAGACCTCTACTTCCAATAAGAACCAACTTACCGAATTATAGAGAAAAGTTATTTATTGGGTAATGGTGGGTCAAATGTTCAATTTGGGGAGGTTGCCTTTGATATTATCCAGTTGTTTGTTGTCAATACCGAGTCCCGTTGCTCCCTCCCCTTTTCTTGTTTGATTTGGTCGTTTCTTACTGCTCCTAATTTCAATATGAACTCTTGCTATAATGATATGCTTGATGCCCCTGGTAAAGCTCTTACTTTGAGTACTCGTACTATCAATGAGAATGTCACTCCCAAGGCTAAGTTTGAACTCACTCCTTCCATGGTCCCTACCAAGTGGGATGTGTTCCTGGTTCAACAGCTTGCTGAATGGGATAACATAGCAAAGAAGGTTGCTGCTCAACATGCTTACCTACGCCAAGCTTTACAAGCTGTTAAAGGTTTTCAGCGCAAGAACTCGAGGACAGGCCTTTCGGCATCCCGTAGTTCAAAAAAGGGGGAGAAAGCAAAGAAGGCTAAGCCTGCTAAGGGAGATGAGGCTGATGATGAAGATGATGAGTCTGGGGGAGAATCTCCTCCGGGATGATGATGATGGTGGTAGTTGCTGGGAGTCTGCTTTTTATTAAGTTTGCTTTTGAGTGTTTTTTATGGAGTGATGTAGTGAGGTCTTGCCTGTATAAGAACCTCTTTGATTATCTTCAGTGATTTGCTTTTTGCTGATACTACTTGCTTCTGTGATAAATTCTGTTATTGTTTTTTTTTTTTATGGGTTTAGGGTTTGTCCCATTAGGTTTTCTAGTAAGGTTCTTAATGAGGCAACATGAATGACGTATTCACATGAAAGTGTACTTTTTTTCTTTAATTAGGTTTTGTCTCCCATGGTTTTTCTAATAAGGTTTTAATAAAGCATATTCATGATATAATAATGACTATTGAATAATCACTATGATTCCGCATGACGATAGGAAGACAATGAAGTGGTTACTCTTTTGTTCTTCGATCATGTTTTGTCCCACAAGTTTTCTTGACAAGGTTTTTAACGAGCCAGTGCAAGTATACTGCACTAATGATGACTATTTCAGGGGAAGCAACTTTTATGCTCCCAAAATGTTTAGGTTTTGGCCGCAAGCTACGCTACAAGTATTCGTATTATTTTGTTTTTCTTTTTTTTTTTTTCCAATCATTTCGACATGTTTAGAAGATAGTCATTCTAGGGAGAGTGTTATGAATTTATGATATACAGTAGGTGAAGCTACCGTATTAATTTCTATATATGTGAATGGCCATTTTTCCATTGATGTAATTGTATATTTATAATTGTTCCACCAGAATTCTTATAAACATGAGTTTCGATTATAATGAAAATCATAGTAAGAGAATACATCTCTCTATTCTCTCTCCTTTCTTCTAGTTTTATTACATATATAAAGGGCATCAAATAATAAACGGCCATTGAATTTTCAAAAGAAATAGAAAAATAGAAAAGACATATTAATTTAACTAAAAAAAGTAAAAAGAATAAAATTAAATTATTTTATAAATATTTAAAGTAAACAAAATTAAAAAATAAAAATATTTTTCTGTTTTAATAAATATTGAATTGGAGAGAAAATAAAGTTAGTAATATTTATTTTATATTAATAAAATGCGAAAGAGTTAGGCTTAGGGGTGAGTATCGGCGTAGTTCGGTGCAAAATTGCACCGAACGAAAATAAAACTGTTCAAAAGTCCAAATCGAACAACACTGAATTTGAAAAAAACCGAACCAAAACCGCGCTGAAAATTTTTGATTCGGTGCGATTTTGATGAGGTTAACCGCTAATAACTAGAAAAAAAATTATTGAACCTTGTCGATAAGCACTTCTAGCTTCTTTTCTTGATGATTTTTCTTCACGTCTAAAATTAATATATATCCACAATAGTCTCAGCAATTGAATAATAATTAATAAAAAAAAATGATTCTTTCGGTAAAAAAAAATATTTCTATTATCTGGTTATGAGTTGATTGAGTAGTTTAGCTGGTTGTGTTTGTAGCTAGGATTTGATGGTGTGATTACTAGTTTGCAGCCGGTGGTGGCTTCTTGTTTGTTTGGATTCTATTAGTTTGTTGGCTGATCTCGGTTACGCAACATAGTCCTTTTTACCACCTCAGCTATCCAGGATTGGGGGCTTCCCCAGCGTACATTGTCTTTCTATGGTTTTGCTGAATGAAGTTATTATGTCGTTGGAAAAAAAATTGGGATAAACTAAAAATAGCAACAGATAAAAATGGAAGTTTAAATCTCATAAGCTCACAATGAGGCATGACTCCTCCTTTGTGGTTAAACTCCAAGGCTCTCTGGCTCGGGCGAGTAGAGGGTGAAAGTCTAAGAGACGAGAGCAAAAAGGTCGTCTAAAAATTTAGGACATAAATATTAGAATAATTAAATTTTTCTAAGTTTTAACTTTTAA